GCACTGTGAAGAACATGGAACCCGCTCCTATCTCGTCTGCAAGAGGCATAAGTAGGGATTGGGGGATTGGTGGGTTGGTGGGTTGGCGGGTTGGCGGGTTGGCGGGTTGGCGGGTTGGCGGGTTGGCGGGTTGGCGGGTTGGCGGGTTGGCGGATTGGGTGGGAATGAAAACCAGGGGTAGGTAGGTGGCATAGAAGGACGGCCATGATGGGGCAGTGGGCACAGAGAGAGGAAGATGGAGCCCGCCCCGCCCATATCTCGTTGCAGGGGGGATGAGATGACGGGGAATGGAGGAATGGAGGGAGGTGGTGGGTAGAATCCAGGAGGGATGGAGAGAGGGAGATAGAGCTGGGGTCAAGTATGGAGGCGATATTCTTGAAAGTGGTACTTGTGTGGGTGCACACACGTGGCTAACTGAGCAGCACCTACCTAGTACCTAGTACCTAGTACCTAGTACCTAGTACCTAATACCTAGTACCTCGTACCTTGTAATTACCTAGTACCTAGTACCTACCTAGTACCTACCATAGAACATAGTACCTACCTACCTAGTACCTAGTACTCACCTAGCACCTATCTAGTTGAGTCGGTAGGTACCTAAATGAGCGAAGAGCTCGGGGTCGAGCACACGGGTGATATTCTTGAGATTGTCGATTTCCTTCTGCACGCCTATGCTGGCTGACGTGCCCATGAAGTCGCTCCTCTGCACGGTGCATGCATGGGCAAGAGGCCAGGGAGGCACAGGCAAGATGACATGAACACACATAATGAGATACATGCAAGACCACTGTTTACTCCCTCCCTCCCCTCCCTCCCTCCCCTCCCTTCCTCCCATCCCTCTCTCCCCTCCTGCTCTCCCCTCCCTCTCTCCCCTCCCTCTCTCCCCCCCCCCCCCACCCAACCTCCTCGCCTCATTCTCCTTGGACTTACGATGGGGCGCAGGAGGCGTTCGAAGCACCAGAAGGCATCGGCGTTGTTGGGGAATGTGACGATGAAGGGCGACATGAGGTCGCTCATGCCTGCTCGTGGTGAGATGGGTTGGTGGGGAGGGAGGCCGGGAGGGAGGTCGGGAGGGAGGGAGGAGAGAGGGAGGGAGAGAGTTGATGCAATGGACATGACATCTGCGGCTGAGGGGAAGATGAGATGACTATGAAGGGAGGCATAAGGTCACTCATGCCTGCTCGTGGTGAGATGGGAGAAAGGTGGGCCAGGTTGGGGGGGAAATAAAAAGGAGTAGTGGAGGGAGGGGAAGATGACGATGACAGGTGACATAAGGTCATTCATGCCTAATCACATTGGAATGGGTGGTGGTGGAGGTAGGGAGTGAAAAGCTAAAGGAGGGAAGGAGGAAGGTAAGAGTGCTGGGTGACATGAGGTTGCTCACGCCTGCATTCCACGTGACGGAGGGTTGTGGGGTGGGAGAACAGGGAAGGCAACCCTCCACAACAATCACCCGATCCATCCCATCTTGTGGTAGTACCCCCCCCCCACCCACCACATCAATCATTCATCCCCAATCCACCTATGCAACATCCTCCCCCATCTCACCTTGGCAGTACCACACGTCAGGGTCCAACCATGAGTACATACACGGCCAACACCCATCCCACCACAAAAATCAGCCTACTCACTTGGTAGCACCCCACCACAAAAATCACCCATGAATTATCTCCAACCCCCATCTCATCTTGGCAGCACCCACCACAACAATCACCTTGGCAATACCCAACATCAGGGTCGAACTACGAGTACACGGCTAAAACTTCCATGAGGCGTGACCGATTTCCCTCCTCCTCATAGAACACGAGCGTGCGATCCGCCCTCTGCACGTCCACTCCTATCTGGTGCAGCCCCAGCCGCCCCAGAGGCCCCACACGCCCCAGGAGCCCCAGACACCCACCTTGGCAGTACCCAACATCGGGGTCGAACCACGAGTAGACCGCCAGCACCTCCATGAGGCGCGACCGGTTGCCCTCCTCCTCATAGAACACGAGCGTGCGATCCGCCCTCTGCACGTCCACTCCTATCTGATGCAGCCCCAGCCGCCACTTGCGCACCCGCTCCTCCCCCACCCGCCCCACCAGCCTCTCCCGCTCCGTCAGAAGCACCGCACTCTGCCCCTCTCCACCGCCCCTCCCTGCTGCTCCACCTCCCTCCCCTCCTCCATTCAAATCTAGACCAGCAGCAGCAGCAGAGGCGGCGTGTGTGGAAGAAGGGTCGTCAATGTGGGGTCCGTTATAGTAGGAGGGGAGGGGGACGTCTGAGCCGTCCTCGAGCACGCGGGGGAAGTCCACCACCACGCCACTGCCCACCACTGGGTCCACCTCGTTGCACTCCTGCTTCAACCTCGCGTAGAAATCACTGCTTGGGAGAGTGGGGAAGGGGGAGCGGAGGGGGGGAAAGAGGGAGTGGGCATAAGAGGGAAGTGAGGAGGCCACACTGTCCACTAGCGGATCCACATCGTGCACTCCTGCTTTAACCGCGCGTAGAAATCACTGCCTGGAGTGCGGAGGAGGGGGGAGAGGGGAGGAGGACGGAGGGGAAGGAGAAGGGGGGTTAGAAGCAGCAGCAGCAGCATCACCACATCACATGCCTATCTCATCACATGCCTATCTCATCACATGCTTCTCTCATCACGTGCTTCTCTCATCACATGCTTCCCTCATCACATGCTTCCCTCACGGCATGCCGGCGTGCCCCCCTTGTCTCACCGCCGTGCTTCTCGCATGGCGTCCCGCTCCTCGTGGGTGCTGCTGGTGGGCGAGTGGAGCCCGTATGTGAGGGGATCCGGGGATCCTCACTCATACCACGGGGAACAGCTGCAAGATGGAGCCATTTTAGCAGTAGATTTTCTCACTGCACAGGTGGTCTCACCGTCGTGCTTCCCTCATGGCGTCCCGCTCCTCATGGGTGCTGTTGGGCGAGTAGAGCCCCAGGAGGAACGGCCACACCTCGCCTCGGATGCTGGGTTCCACGCCCTGCCGGGATAGGAGAGGTAGAGACATACGCATGAGAGGGCCGAGACACTTGAAATAAGGTGGTTTGGAGACGTCTCAATACCACCCTTCTTTCTCGTGGGTGCTGTTGGGCGAGTAGAGCCCCAGGAGGAACGGCCACACCTCGCCTCGAATGCTCGGCTTCACGCCCTGCCGGGATGGGCGAGGCATAGAGATTCGCATGAGAGGGTCGAGACGCCCTTTCAGGCACCTCAAAAATTGCCTCACTACAGGAAATGGGCGAGGTATAAAGATATGCGTGAGAGGGTCGAGACGCCCCATGTTCATCTGACTCCCCCCCTTATTTTTGCTTCAGCACCCACCCCTCGCTAAGCACACACCCCTCGTTATAAGCACACACCCCTCGCTATAAGCACGCACCCCACGCTGTATGTGCTTGAGCGCAGCATCAATGGCCCACACTCGGCCGAACTCGTCTTGACACGCCTCCCATCTCTCCGCTGACAGCCGCTTCTTCACCTGCAAGCATTGTGTGATAGTAACGGGGGGTGCGGATGAGGGAGAGAGAGAGAGAGGGGGCGACGAAGAGAGAGCGAAGGACGGAAGGGAGTGGAAGGGAGGGGAAGAGGGGGGGGGGGAGGTGGAAGATGAGAAGAGGAGAGGTTAGGGATGGAAGCATGAAGAGGATACGCTAGTGATGCTAAGTGCTTGGTGCTGAAGGCCTGGGGCGATCGTCAGTCTTGGCGATGGTTGACTAATGGTCTCGTATGATAAATTGACGGCCGAATGTGGTTGCCTGACGACATCGTATAGTTCACTGACGGTCTGATATCATTCATTGACGGCCAGGTTTGATTGTCTGACGGTCTGACATGCTTGACTGACGCTCAGATGCGGTTGACGGGTAGTCTCTTGAAATTGACTGACGGCCCGGAAAGCTTCGTCATTAGCCTGAAGATGCACGGAATTAGTCAGAACGGGATGCCGGATCGTCTCCCCTACTAAGCTCCTTCGTACTCGTTAAGAAGCTCTTTTTCTTCCTCAAGGACTAATCTCCTCCTCTACGACTCATTGCCTCTTATAAAACTCATTTTCTTCTCCTTACCCGCGGACGGAACTTGCTGACTTGAGTGACGTCGACGTCCTTCCTCACGGGGTACTCCTGGTCCAGATCCTCCGATACACGCGACCCCTTTATAAGCCTCGAGAAGAACGACATTGCAGCTGGTCCTTCACAAAAGCGGATTAAGAATGGACGGATCCAGCCGTCGCGCTGCTAGCAGCCTGACGCGGATGTTCCTAAGACTGGAGCCGTTCGGCTGGCTAGGAACACTACGAGCTAAGCCGCATCCGGCAATTAGTGACTGACATTTCTAGGCGTGTGTTTGCCACCATTGTCGCAGCTTAATCAGGCTGTCACGGGAACCGACGCTTCGTGCTCAATTCTGTGCTTTTTTTAGGACGGCAGTCATCTGGATGAAACGCAGAAATCTAGCGAATAGCAATAGATATGGTGGATGCTAGTGATGCGAGTCGCACATAACTCACCTTCGAGAGTTCGCGATACAACGCGGACTTTCCACTAGCTTGACTAAAACTGAACTGCCTATGGTCTTCAGGTTGCCATAGTTGCCATGTAATTCTGGCATGTAGTTATGGCCTACCTTCGGTTGGGATATGACAAAAAGCCCAATTGTGGTGCCCAACCGGATGGTGTGATTGGCATCAGGGAACTGGCTCGCTCGCAACGCAACCGAACTGAAGTGATGAAACGTGGCTTCGGAAGGATGGGTTCGGCCAGAACCAGAACGCTACGAACTTCCCGAGGTTGCCTGAGCCTGACTCATGCAAATACCAACGGTTGTCTGCCTAGAAGCCGTACAATGTAAAGGGCACTTCGAACGCCATTGTTCTAGGAAGTGAATTGCGTCCCAAGCTAACTGACCTGAATGAGGAACACTGGTTTCACTTCAGAGCAATCAATTCAGCCTTACTGGGAATAAATAAAACAGGTCCAATATCAGCAATCTATCTACCTAGTTAGACACATTCTAGCCTACTTGGCACAAAGTGTGGCGCTATTGGTGTGTAGTTAATAGGGTCTTGTATAACTTGACATATGATGCACAATATATTTCTGTTATCGCTCACTGATGCTTCACCGCTTCATTTGATGCTGCAATCGGGACAGGCCCAAGTGGAGAGATGTCCACTGGGCTCTGTGCACCACTCCCACCATCCGAACCATGAAATGGAGATGGCAGCACACACTGTAACACAACAAGGAAGCAGAAGTGAGTACAACTTACTAACGAATGGCACTCTGCATCAAACTATCTAACGTGGAAGCCTGGCTCGACAATTTAACTTACATTTGGCGATGCTCTGGAACACATTTGAGTCAGTCGGCCCATCTTCGCTCCCTCGCCAGGCACCAACCGGCAGGCGTCCTTCCCATCAACAATAACAACCTCCTCGTTACAGCTCCCACTGACACCCGTCGGCCCTTCCACCTCCTTTCGTGCACCTGCATCGGATCTTGCCTGCGAAACAAGCACTCCATTGGCAACAACCTGGCTCCCTTGCTTCTGAGCATCCACGTCCATTGGAGCAGCGCCTATGGGCTTGTCACCTTTCATGAGCGTAGCAGCAGCACTATCATGCACAGTCGATCTACAGAGTACAAGGAACACAAGCAGACAGGTAGTTAGAAGTCTGAAATCCAGGAGAACTAACCAGCAGGGAAATGCCATGTCCCAGGCATCACTCACCCACTAGTCTTGATGGATCCCTGCATGCTCCCCAATTTCTGTTGCTGTGGCGATGCACCAGCAATGGCAGCAACGACAGCAGGCGGAGAAGCGAGAGTGTTGGGTTGCGTGAAACTTCCAGATTGGGTTAGTTTTGGGCTTGGCTGTACCACGGAAACGACTCCAGGCAGGGACCCAGCCAGAGGGGAACCAGCAGGCAACCTTTGCTGCTGCTGCTCCTGCTGGTGCTGCTGTGGCACCTGCTGAGCGCGGCCCTCCAAAGCATGAGCAGGGGGTGGGAGAGCAAGAGGAGGAGGGTGTCCGCCTGCCACTGCCCCTGTGGGTGTAGACACCACAGACACCACTCCTGTGGGCAAAGGCACTGGGGAAATCACATCTGTGGTGGACACACACACCACAGCTGCAGGCACACAGACGACACCTGCAGGCTCAGAAGCCGCACCAGCAGCAGAGGCTGGCGCCGCTACCACCCCCTGACACGGCTCACCATTCCCCTCGTCCGTTGCCCCACTCTTCTCAGCACCACCACCCCCTCCCACGCGCCCTCCCGCACCCCGTCCACACGCATCATTCTCCCTTCCTGTTGCACACTCCGCAGCCACAGCATCTCCACCGCTATTGCCACTCGACGGACTGCCTGTCCTATCGACAACCCCGCCAGCCCCACCACTAATCCCCATTCCACCAGCGCTGGCGCCCCGTCCATCTTCCACAGACTCCATAGCCCTCACTCCATCGCTCGTGAGACATCCATCCGCGGCACCAGTGCCCATGGTCGCAGTGGTCGCGGTGGTGGCTGTGGGGGTGGTCTCCCCGTCGTCAGCCACGAGGGAGGTTCCGGGCGTGGCCTTGTCGTTGAGCTTGCGCGCTCGGTTGCGCCCGCGGTGCAAGTGGCGCTCGCAGTACTTCTGCTCCGTCACCACCTGTGCGCGCGAGCGCGTGGGCGCGTGGGCATGATGGAGCGAGGGCAGGACGGGAAATGGCAAAAAAAAGGGGAATGTTAAAGCACTTGGCACGGGAACATTCAGGAACACAAATAGACATGAACGCAGTGCAAGGAGGCAATAAGAGAAGAGGGAAGGCATTATCCGGGAATACGAAGCAGGTAGAGGAACCCACCTCGCGGGCGCACCGCCACTTCTTGCCATCTGTCCGGCGACATCTAAAGGGCTCCGGATCCACTTGCATCGACGGCCCCCAGAAAGCTGCAACCACACACGGAGCGCAAAAAAAAAAGAAAAAAAAAGGCCTTTTGTAAGCAACAAACTTATCGCAACCATGGCACAGTAAAAAGGCGTTGCCACACGGCGCCTTACGTGAAAATACACCATGAAACGATCATGATGATCGCATGAAGCCGTTGTACAAAGCATCCTGCTTTGGCATACATACATGGCATGAAGGCTCCCATGGGATGAAACGTCTGAAGCCCGAATGGAAGCGGCGGCATGGACAAGCGCACGCGGGAAACGAGCTCCAGCGGAACAGGGGCTCCCGCGACGAGGTACTTGAAGATGAGCGCCTGCTGCTCCAGCTCCTGCCACTGCGCCACCGTGAACGGCCCGCACGCGCCCGACTCCACTGCGCACAGGATGAGTCACACACGACGTGTCGTAACAGGAAAGTGAGTCTAACGCACAGAACTCCCGCAACCACTACAAACGCGAGCGCGAACTTTGTGACGTGCGATCGCGTTAACGTGCACTGGAATGGTGGAGGAAAAATGGGATACGGACAACGGTGCCGACCGAGGGCTACTGCGTACCTTGCATGGGAGCTTGGCTTGGCACGTGAGAGTGGATTTGCGTCGCTTGCATAGGCATCGCCTGCATTGCCGTCGCTTGCATCGGCGTCGCCTGCATAGATGTCGCCTGGACAGGCATCCCCTGGATCTGCGGTTGTGGCTGAGCCAGTGGTTGTTGAAATGTCTGCTGGGGTGGAGGGCTTATGTTCATCTGACCGCCACTGGCGGACGCAGCAGGATTGTATTGAGGAGGCGCTGCTGCTGCTGCTGCTACTGGAGCTTGGCTCTGAAACGAAGGCAAAGGTACTTGCGAGGAATATATAGGCCGCTGCGGCGGCGGAGGCTGAGGCTGCTGCTGCTGCAGAGGGTTGTATTGAGGATGTTGGAACTGCTGCGGCTGCTGCTGATGGGTTGGTAGTGGATGAGGAGCCGATAGCTGTTGGGTGACCGCGGTTGGCATAGGAGGTGTTTGGGATGGCTGCATCTGAGGCTGATCCATCTGATAAATCTGCTGCGCTTGAGGCTGCTGAGCTTGCTGATATTGCTGCTGCTGCGGCTGAGGTTGCTGCTGGTATATGTTGGGTTGAAGCACTGGTCCTGGTTGCTGCTGCTGGGTATAGATGCTTTGCTGCTGATACTGCTGCTGTAGCTGCTGTGGCTGGAAATTCGCCTGTGGCTGATGTTGCGACTGCGTCTGGTAGAGTTGTTGCTGCTGCGGTTGTGGCTGCTGTGGGTACGCTTGCTGCTGTGACTGATAAGCCTGCTGCTGTGATTGAAACGCTTGCTGTTGCGGCTGGAAGGTTTGCTGCTGCGGTTGTTGCATCTGCTGCTGATACATCGTCGGCTGCTGGTACTGCTGGGTTTGTTGTAGAGAAACCTGCTGTGGTTGTTGTTGAAATTGCATTTGCGAAGACTGATAGCTGCCTTGTGGCTGTTGCTGCTGCTGCTGCTGCTGTGCCGGCTGCTGTGGCTGCTGAGGAAGGCTCCGCCGCTGATTGGAGCTCTGCTGCTGGAAAGGCGGCTGACACGATGGCATTTGCTGAGAAATAAAACCAGGCTGCTGCTGCTGTTGCGGGGGTTGGTTCTGCCAATGCTGGAGCGGTTGTGCTTGGAGTTGATTGGGAGCCATGGACCGTGTCTCCTGTTGTTGGTGCATAACACCCTTGAGAAACTCGAACTTGCGGGGAAGCGGAGGGAGGCTGCTGCTTCTGATGCTGATGCTGCTGCAGCCGCTGATGCCAAGCTTCCGAAGATACACCCTTGAGTCGAGATTGGGTGCTGGTAAGAACTCAAATCAGGGTCGTGTGCAATACGTTGATTATTAAACCAAACAAAAACACTGCCTTTTAGCAGTTCAAAGTCCTTTACCCTGTTTGAACTCCGGAAGCTTTATAGGAAGCAGAGATGTTGTCGTGCGAAGTAGATGTTGGTTAAAAGCCAACGCGTTGGCGCGAGACTGGTTTCTCTGCGCCTGATATGCAGAGCTTAGAGCAGTAACAGGGGATATCCTACAAAACGGGAAGTCACGATTATCTATAGACGGAATGCTCACCATAAAGTTTGAATAAAGGAATACGCTCGAGAGTAGCGGCCCCAGACACTACACTACTGTTACTCTATACGCGGCAACGATCAGCAGAACTCCGGTCGGGATCGGATTAAGTTACATATTTAGAAGCAAGCTATGAAATTCAAAATGTCAGAATGGAAGCTCGGTGCCGTCCTGAACTCAGGAAATGATCAGGCTGGTCATTAGAGGAAGCACTTAGTCTGAGCAAGAGCAACACAGGGAGAAAGCCTTCTGGTCTGATAGCTCATGCAAACGGCTCTGGAACGGACAGAACGGTCAGAAGAGCCATCAACCAGGCGATCGCATCAGCGAACAAGCACTAGGCATTCACTGATCAGTCATGGCTTCCGAAACTAGTTCAGAAACAGCCACTACTGTCAGATGTAGCTATTTTTTGCCTGGCGAAACTGCAGGAACATTGAGGCAGGCATTCAGGGAATAGGAGGGAAGAATTTCGCCCAGCGACGGAAAAGCATTGTAAGGCATCCAGCCAGCCCAGGCTGGTCATCTTTTTCCCAAGAGGGGCGTGATGTTGATGGGGTGGCCTTCAGGATGTCACGGGGACGGGGTCGCTGCTCGACCATGATTGGTTTCTGATGAGGCCCATCAATCAGAGCACTCGATGAGGGGACCCTGTCAGAGAGGAAGAGCCTTCCTGATTGCCAAGCCTGGGCAATTTCCCACAAGCGGGAACGGTTGCCAATGTCCAAGGCAGCCAATAAGCTGACTGTGCAGGTGCCGAGCCGGAGGCTTGGCTACTCACTGGCTAGACCTGACATTTTTGGGGTGAGGTTCGGAAAAGCTGCGTTGGGCATCACCTCCTTTTGGCAAAAAAAAAATCCTAGACACGCGCCCAACACCTGCATCCCTGACGACGGTTCGCCCAAGAAATTGGCGGGATGATAGCGAATAACACTTGCCTCCATACCAGCGCACTCGGTGGCACACGCAGATTTGCAAATTGAAATACTTGACATCTGTAAGGAAAATTCCTTTTCCCTACTTCGCGTCCCTGCTCAGCGCGCACACCACTGTTTCCCGCCAACAGCACCCCACAATAATCCGTTACCACTCGCGACATTCGCCTCGACACTATTCCCGCCACTGTTCACGACACGACCCAACCTCACGGTTCGGTTGGTAACCCACGCTCCGGACCTCTGCCTCGACAATCCCCAACCTCGGCACTAGGCCCGTCGTGCACCCCATTTTCCACACGTTACCGTTACCACTGTAGCTTCGCGATATATTCTTCGCTCAATCCTTCGCTCATTGTATTCTTGTCTCGATAGTGCAATCCTCGCTCGCTCACTCAATTGCACTCGTAACACTTGGTATTCATAGCCTACGATCTTCTCTCGGACCGCACCCACACCTTCGCTTCTCCACTATCTCAAAATTTGGGGGGGGGGGGGGGGGGGGGTAGACGTCTCTCAGCGACCAAGCACCGCCGCTCGTAGTGCTATCTCGTAAGCACGCACTGCCACAACAGAGGCTCTCGCTAACTTGCCCGACACCCCCGCCATGGCTGAAATTACTCTCGCGACACTGACGCAAGCGCAGCTCGACCGTCTCATGCGTCAACTCGAAGATTCGGCCCTCGAAATTGCTACACGCACGGCGGAACGCGACTCTGCTCGCCAGCAATCGACAATGAATACACCAGCACCAACCAATGCACCTGCATAGTCAGAGGAGCTGATCATCGTCTCATCAGGCACCCCGACACAGAACGACAGCGTGGGACAACGCTCAGGCGTAGCCAGCGATGGCGCTACTCACTCAATGCCTGGCATGGAGAGAAATAGGGCTGCACCAAGCCCATGCGAGCCTCGTGAAGCTCGTCGGCACGTGGAGTTTGCAGCAACAAGCGGCAACCACGACATCATAGCACCAATGCCACTCAAGCCGCCGCGCCCGCCGTGTTTCGACCCAAGCCAACGTGGAGGTCCGACGGTTCAATCGTGGGTCTTCACGATGAACGTGTTTTTCGAAGCGAATAACGTCGAGTCGAACGCAGCGAAGATTCGCTACGCCGTTTCGCTGCTGAGGGGCCCCACCATGGACTGGTGGCGAGTCATCGTGATGTCGCCACGCTGTCAGAATCCCAACCACTAGACCATTGGGATAAAATGGCTTGTTAAATAGCGGGTCAGTGCGCCCATCACCCCCCAGGACAACGAGTCTGTAACCCTTCCCTTGGATCAATCGGGGATCACCGGTGACCTCTGACACCCCCCCGCACTAGGATGCCCGAAGTGCACACACTGGGATTCGAACCCAAGACCTTCGTTCTCATACCATGTCAGAATCCCAACCACTAGACCATTGGGATAAAAGGGCTTGTTAAGTAGTGGGTCAGTGCGCCCATCACCCCCCAGGACAACGAGTCTGTAACCCTTCCCTAGGATCAATCGGGGATCACCAGTGGACCTCTGACACACGCGCCTACGAGCCACCGTCGCAAGAAGAAGGGCCCACGGGCCCAGCCATCACCTGGAGTTCATTTTGCGAGACAGCCCAATACAGCACGTGGGATGCGTGGTGCGCAGGGCTTCGGGCGCGCTTCGAGTCGATCGCGGCTTCTATTTCGGCGCGTCAGAGACTGCGTACTTGGCAGCAGCTCGGATCGGTTCAAGACTACACGAGTGGTTTTCTCGCATTATGCGAGTAAGTCGGCTACATGCACGAAGCGGAGCGGGTGGACCGTTACGTCGGAGGGCTGAAGCTGGACATCTCGCACGAGATTATGCTACGCGGGCTCTCGATTTTTAACGAGATCCTCGCGCTCGCCGAGAAAATCGACATTTTGCGCCGTTCGAGACCGGGATCTTACTACGGACATCGTCCTCGGGGACCAATCGAGCACGCCACCGTACACGCCGTTGCGACGAATGCAGCTGCCGCACCGTTTAAGGGGCGCTGCTTTGCTTGCAATCGGCCGGGCCATCGCAAGAGCGAATGCCCAGAGGAGCTGAGGCGCCGCGGAACAGAGCAGGGGCGGGAGTCTCAGAGGCAGGGAAACGCCAGTAGTCAGTAGAAGTTGGGCCAACTACTGACGAGACTACCTGCTCGCCCAACCTCACCGACCCTCACTGAGTCACAGTACCGATTCACGCTATCGATCGGGCTCGGATGAATAAGGAGGGTACAACGACGGATTGCCCAGCACTGATCCACGGGAAAATACAGGGAGCAGCAGTGAAGATTTTTATACACGGAGGCGCAAGTCACATCTTAGTTAATACTGCGATTGCAAGAAAGCTGCAACTAGCACTTAGCCGGTGTTTACCGGAGATAGATGCACGCTTAGTTGACGGAACGCCGCTGGCATTACGGGATAAAGTGGAGAGAGAGTAAAAGTCCGCTGCGGGGGGAACTTCGGGTTTACACAGGAAATGCTCGCGACGACATTGGATGGCATGACATTTTATTGGGACATGATTGCCTGCGATGGT